CGGGCGTCTGCCGCCTCTGCCGTGGGCTGCTCTCGCTCCTCTGCCTCAGGAGGGCCGGGAAGGATTTCCCTGCAGATCCCCCCGGATCGTCCGTCGTCCTGCCGCTGCTTGAGTGTGCCTGTGGCCGCCCAGCTGTGGGCGTGGCTGGGGGTTTTTTTTCACACTGGCTGGGCTGGCACAAAGGGGCCCTGGCAGAGAGGTGATCCCCTGGGTGGCCTGGTGGGGAGCAAAAGCTTTAGCCAGGTGGGTGACTCCTGGGGTCGAATCCCCATTTCTAGACACGGACGTGAGAGTCTTTCCTGAGAAGCTCCCATCTGCTCCCTGCCAGCATCCCCAGGGACAGCCTGGAGAACAGCCTGTGACGGGCCGGGCTGGGGCGTCCGCTCAGGGCGAATTGCTCAAACTTGGGGCTCCTCACCCCCAGACTGGGCACCTTCCCAAATAGGCCACAGACCCCCACCCCCCCCCCCGACACCCCAGCTCTCTCCGTGCCCCAAACAGCCCTGGGCCTAGCACACAGGTGAGGGGTTATAGGACCCAACCTCACCTTCCCCCAACGGGTCTCTCCGGTCCCAAAGAACCAGCCACAGATCCCGGGTCAGTTTACACTTTGGATCTTGCCAACAGGATCACGCTGGGCCAGTCCTTTAGAATCTACAATCTAAAGGTTTATTACTAAAAGTCTCTGTTTACATCCTGTGCCCGGACGGCTCCGCGGTTCTTCCCAGCTCGTAGTTCCCTGCGAGGCTGCGTCTGGGATTAAGAGCGAATCTGAAGACGAAATGGAGGCGGCCACATGGCCCCGTATCCCTCCTTCCTCGTCTCCTCTTGGCGGCGGGCCTCGCCCTGTGTTCCCTGCTGGTAGCCTGTAGGGATCAGTCACTTTCCTGAGGTGTGTCCTCGGGGAGTCACTGTCCCCGAAGCCTTGCTCATTAGCATACCCATTGCAGCCACACGCCGCCACGTGCCCAGTGTTACCACAGTCCATACTCAGAGCTCCGCACACGGACATGACACAGGCGTGTGAGGAGCGCACAGACTCAGGAGAAGGGACGCTTGCGTTCGACGCCTCACATGGCCCCTTTGTATCAACGTTTGGGGCAACCCCC